ATGCAGAACATCATTAGTGCCAAGTGTCTGAAAGCTGTCAAAAACATTCCCATCACAGCGCAACTGGAGTGCTCGCTAACAACCCAGACCATTATTCCCTCCACTCAGAGGGAGCCTGCAGACAGAGGCGTGCAGACACTGATATGTGACTCTGGTACATGCTCAACATGTGCAGTGGCACCCATTTTCTCTCACCCCAGGAAATGTATGTGACAGTTTGGGACTCTGCCTGGATAGTTGTTCTCTTCAAATACCTTTATGGAAGCAGAGGAGGGGGCTGCTCTCTGCTCTGTCCCCCCAGGGATTCCTATTTCAAGTGTTAGCCTGAATTCCAGTTTGCTGGTTAATGACCTGTAATTTTCCAGCTGCAGCGTTACAGGAACATGTCTCTTTTCGTAAAGGTCCCGGGACACACCACTTAGCCTGAGGAGGACATGACCTCATCTCTGGCTGGAACACTTCTCTGTCAATTTGGGATTGCTAACTTCCTGTCCGACAGACTACCTTCTACACATTTAGCCTCATTTCTTTTTTAATATTGTTTTTCATGAGTACTGAACATGTTCTGGATAACATAGCATCCATGCAGCCATAGTAGCCCTGGTTAATTTTCTACATTACGCTAGTTCAAATCGAGGTTCATTCTCAAGAAAAAGTTCAAACAAGCTTGAGAACAAGTCATGACCTAAATTCAAAACAATATGGTTCATTCTAGTGAAAGTGACTTGCTACATCACTTACGACATGTTGTCTAAACGTACAATCATTTGCTTATGATTACAACTCTGAGAAGAGCCATCTGTATTGAACCGAGACACGTTTGACATGTTCTCTGGCTGGAACATTTCTCTTTGTCAATTTGGGATTGGTAACTTCCTGTCGGGCAGACTACCATTTACACATCCAGTCTCTCTGTTTTTGTATTGGTTTGGAGATGTGAAATGCTGTTTAAACAACACAGCTTGAATGCACATTTGAGTGGACCAGCCGGAACGTGAAAAGCAAACACCTCTCATCTCCATACCATCAGACTGTCTGAGGCTCAGGTGTGTTCACTTGACAGATAGCTACTGTAATTGCGAAGCTGATGGGAAAACGTGCTATTGCTAATCCTGATGCTTCTGCTCTCTGAGGTCCTGCCCTGCTCTGATGATACTACAGTGTTTACTGTGGGAGAGATGCTTATCACAGGCAGTAGTGGGGATTGGCTGCTCAGGCATCTGCTTGACTGTGTTGTGCTCTAAATGTGAAGTTAAGTGGAAGGCTGTCTGTGTGGGAGTATCCCTGCTGCCACTCTCAGCAGGGGTCTTCCACCCTAATGTACTTTACTTTCACAGCGTTTTGTGCTGCGGATGGAATTTCTGTGTGATTATATTTTATGGGGAATATAAGAAAGCTATTGTATCCCTTTTCTGCTTTATGTCATTAAGTGTTGTCCAGTTTGTACAATTATACAAAACTGCTTCTGTGGGTCTCGGGGAACTTTCGCAAGTTTGACAAAAATTGACCTGTTTTTATTCAATATATTTTATCGTATCTTATCTTGGAGTGGATTTTAGAGTTTGATATTTTTAGATGTTGTTTACCCGGCATGGAAGGTCTACTTCAGCGTGTTGTAAAAAGCAAGAAATACTTTAGAGCTATGTAAAGGGTTCTCTATCAAACTGAATTATTAGCCTCCACTGTTCCTGGGAAACATTTTCTGAAGCCTGCATTATATATGTAGCTACCATAAAATCAGTACAACACATTTTACACAGCACGCCTCATTCATTTGACCCCCCTTCCGCTTGTTTTCCCGTGCTTCTCCACACATAAAAACACTCGAAGACCACAGCTTGCATCTCAGCAGCCCTCATGTGTAAGAGATTGTTCCTCCATTTTGGATGATGGGCTCAGCGTGGAGCTCTAATTGACCCACCATGTCTGCAAATGCATTAGTGTGGCTGTGCTTGGCCCACTTAATGCCCAACTACAACAAACATGGCCATCAATAGATACAGCTGCATTTTTATGCAGCACATAAGGACCCAGTGTGTTGAGTGGTTTGTCTAAAAGCAGCCAGACGAGGGCTGGTCAGGAGAGAGGCAGTGGCTGGTCACGGTGTCTGAAACAGCTGACCTAATCCCGCCCCACAGACAGGAAGGAGCAGGAGTGAAGCCTCTGGCCATGTGAGCTGCTCTTTCAACCTTTCGACTCGTAGGTTTGTGTCAAGCGAGGGGTTAGACATTTACTCAGAAACAGCATGGCTTAAGGGGAGCTTGTAAGCTTATCTCACATTTGACTAGTATCTGTTATTTTTTAATAAAAGCTTTCTAGAAGATATATTTTGGACAGATTTCTTTTTCTAAGAGAAACCTGAATTTCCCCCACAATGTTAGATTTTGAAGGTTGAAGCCAGGATAAAGACTATCATTTGGACATTTAAACTCTTTTAAACTCTTGATTCATTGGTAGACCTTTCAGAAAAACGAATCAAATGCAGAGACCAACGCTCAAAACGACATTACATTTGTCCGAAGCTTGAACCCCACACATGTCGAGATCACTAGTTTCTCACTCTGGTGCGTCAGATTCTTGTCTGCTCTTAGGGGGGATCCTGGGATTTGAATCAAGGGGATTGAGCAGACAGCGGCTGGAGGATTTAACCATCATTGCTGACCCCCTCTGGTGTCAATTCCTCAAACAGTCCTAATCCCATTCCCATCTCATCCTTCCCCGACCGCTGGATCCCACGCGTCTCACTGGATCATGCTCTGGGCATAATGCGCCCTGTGCAAATAGGTGAAGGGAAAGAAGTGGATTTTCTTTCTGTAGCTGGTGCTCAACTGTCAGTCTAGCAGTCATGCAGAGGTTTGTTTACGCAACAGTGCTAAAACAATTCCTCTTCCTAAATTAGAAATACTACGTCATTGTCTCTAGAATTCTGTCCTACACCCATTCACTGTTTACAGTTAACACAGGCACATAGTTGAGCTGGGTAATCAACACACGTATTTATTCATTCACGCTGAGCCAATGACCTACCTTGTTTACTATGGCTCATTACTCCTCCAGGTGCTGCTGTGAGGGGGGTGGGATGTGGCAACAAGAGCAACACTACAGTCTCACACATTGTTAGATTCACACCTTCCACTATCCTCTGTCATATCACCTTCGCTTCCACTGCTGCAGGCTTGTTTATGTTATCAACCATTCACCCCTCCATCTGCCAAATAGCATCCCATGAGCCTTTTCTCTGTACACTGCGACGTTAACTGAACTGGAAGTCAAGCCTTACAAATCCAATGCATATTATTCCGTTTATTAGATGGGAGCTTATTGCTCTTGCTTTCTCCTTCACATGGTTATTTATTTATATACTCAATATTCAGTTGATATTCCAGCTCTGGATACCTGTTTGGGTGGGCCCCTGATAATTGAGGGTCTTTGGGTTTTAAAGTGGAGTATTCAGGCGTTCCATAAAGGGTCTTTGAATACTGAGGAATAACATGTTCTGGATCAAATAGCATCCTGAACGGCTGCTTAAGCTCTTGTTCATTTTCCATGCCATGCTAGTTCAAATGGGGGATGATTCTAGGACAAGAACAAGGTCGAACAAGCTTAAGAACAAGTCATGACCTACACATAGAAAACCCTTTCATTATTGTTCATACTGAGTGAGAGTGTGATATTCTATGTATCACTCAGTACAGTTTTCAATGTTACAGTCTTAATGTACTATCTTTGGCTCATGATTATAATTCTAAGAAGAGCAATCTGTTCTGAACCGAGACATGTTGGAATACAAACAGTTCTACAAAGGCCTGTCACCGCAACAACTTTTCTTGCATGATTTATTGTGCCAAAAATAATTGCGATAATCTGTATTATTGTCACTTTTTATGCTGCTGATAAAATGATAATATAATAGCATAATAATACAAGTACACCCTTTTTAAAGAGCAAAACACCTTTAATTCTTGAAAATATGCACTTGGATACGATGAAAAATAAAACCTCACGACCGAAACAGTAAATAAATCTGACTTTCTGGTTTTATTAACAAAATATTATTATGATAATATATAGTACAAAAGGCCCTGGACGATACAACAGCAACAACATTTTGTCAAATTTGTTATATCTTGTTCAATATATGTTGTTTCTTTAGTTGTGCGTCACGTAATACAGCTTCATATTAAAAGTTTAAGACAACATAATAGAATGTGCATTATTTATGATGCATTGTAGCCATAGTCAAACTGTGGTGGTGAACCACAGGCGGCTCTATGCAGTGGAAACATTCTCTCACTCCAACCCACCAGTGTCTGTAACGGTGGCAGCTCCCAGTGTCTCATGAGGAGGCATCGCTCTAAAGCTGCTCCAGCTGGAGGTGTCAGTGAGAGAGGGACAGGGACGCGGGATTGGAGGTTAAGACTGTAATTGGTGGTCCATCCCTGCCCCTGGTAGTGGAGGGCTCCAGGGATGAGGCTTTAGCAGGCGTAATGATGTCTGTAAGATGAGAGGGGATTTGAGTGAAAGCCCCCACCCTCACTCAAATCCCCCTCTTCCTGCTCTCTGACAGGAGGATCCATGCAGCAAACTGAAAGTGCAAGGACACTCTCAGTAAGGCAAACCATTATTAGCCACTCCGGGCCCATTTTAGAAAGTCTAGCAGACCTTTTAGCCTATTAAATGCAATACATAAGAATGGGTAATAGTTACGAACACAATTCATTTTGTATTTCAAATGTTCCATATTATATTCTGATACTCGATCAGTGAACACTTCCTGTCTGAAGCAGGGAAGGGGTTATTTTATGCTGCCAATCTAAGTGTAGTTAAGAAGGATGCTGTGACTTAGGTGGTAAATGGGTGTCTTCCAATCAGATGGTCAGTGCTTTGATACCCATCCTCTGCTGTCAACATGTTGAAGTGTCCTTGGGCAAGATACTTCACCACAGTTACCGCTGTAGTCTGCAGTACTGAAGTGTCTCTAAATGACATGTCATGTACAAGGAGGGTTGAGAATTTGTTAGGCGTTGGGATGATATTCACAATTATGGCATGTTTCTGTTGCAAACATACGTGTGTGTGTGTGTGTGTGTGTGTGTGTGTGTGTGTGTGTGTGTGTGTGTGTGTGTGTGTGTGTGTGTGTGTGTGTGTGTTTGC